CACCAAATAATTGCAAATAATGTCTGGTGGAATCAAAACAGAATTCCTTTCAACTTTATGAAAATCACAACAATTAATCGAAGACAACTATGGCCATAAATCAATATCAACAAGGCCACTACCGAGGTACTGCCTCGTAGTCCCAAATCATAAATAAATTCACAATATCTCATTTTCTTATCTCACCGCGGGAGATTTCACAATTTATTTTAAAGAAAATATTTTTTTCGAAAATAGCATCCCGCGTTTTAGCCATCCTTATCACACCACATGACTTCTAGTAGCCTCCTCTACTAGCCACACGCATCAAGTCACCCTTATCTCACCGCATGCATTTCAATACCCAGACTTTATACCACCGCATGCATATCAATATCACAATATATCACAATTTGCACCTCAAGTGCCCAATATTTCAATTTTCCAAAATAAATCAACAACAATATTTCTCAATAATAAAGAGCTCATGGGTCATGCCAAAATAATCCAACAATAATATTTTTCCACAATAAAGAGCTCACGGCTCCATCACAATGAGTACCAAAAATCTTACGAAAATATTCAGGAATAAATAATTCAGGAAAATAATATTTCAAAATCTTTAATACATTGCTTCAATATCAAATTTAAAAATGTCAAATACTTAATATTAATAATATTTAATTTAAATAAAATTAACCTTCAAATAATGCACAGTATAAAAGAAACCAAGTTTCAATTAAACATGTAAAACAATTAGCAGGAAAAGGTCAAACAAATTTAAAGTATATATCTCAGATCAATGATGAAGAATATAACAAGATAAAATAATTTAATAAACGCGCAACAGTGATCTACACAATTTAAAAATATAGTTTTTCACATTTAGCTCGTGTACATGACTTTCAATACATTTCAATAATCACATCAATACCAATCCTAGGGGAAATTTTTCCAACACAAGGTTAAACAAGTCACTTACCTCGACTTGCTTCAATTTAACCAAGTAGTACGCTTTTTACTCGATTTTTCGATTCTGGTCGACTCGTATCTAGTCATAATTAATTCAATACAGTCAACAAAAATTATAGAATCAATTCCATAAGAAAATACTATATTTTTCAGTAAAAATCCGAAATTAACTAAAAAATGGCCCGTGGGGCCCATGTCTCGGAACTCGACAAAAGTTACAAAATCCGAAAGCTCATTCAACCACGAGTCTAACCATACCAATTTTATCAAAATCCGACCCCAACTTGACCCTCAAAGCTTCAAATCTTATTTTCAAATCCCTAAGTTCCAACCCCCGATTTATACCTCAAAAACATGTAATCTAGTCGGATTATTTGATGATAATCCAATATTATGGAGTAGAAATGATCACAAGGAACTTACCTCAAGTTTTTCCGTGAAAACCTTGCTCAAAATTGCCCAACCCGAGCTTGAAATGCCCAAAAAATGGCAAAAGCTCGGAACCCCTCTATTTTTGTACTGTCCAGGGATTTTCGCATCTGCGGCAACTTGGCCGCTTCTGCGCCAACCGCATGTGCGGAAAAAGTCCCGCATCTGCGCCTTTGCCCGCATCTGCGTGCCTGGTTTCGCTCCTGTGCAGGCTGCTTCTACGCGTGTCCCTATGCATCTGCGCTCACGCAGGTGCGAAATTTTCCTCGCACCTGCGATAGAATTTCCGCAGGTGCGAATGCAGCAGAGGGCAGAAACTTCAGCCATTTCTTCTAAGTCCAAATTTGATTCGTTAACCATCCGAAACTTACCCGAGGCCCCCGGGATCTCAACCAAATGTACTAACAAGTCCTAAAACATCATACGAACTTAGTCGAGCCTTCAAATCACATCCAACTACACTAAAACATGAATCACACATAGATTCAAGCCTAATGAACTTTGAAATTTCTAATTTCTACAAATAACTCTGGAACCTATCAAATCACGTCTGATTTTTTTCGATTTTGCGCACAAGTCATAAATGACATAACAGAGGTACTCAAATTTTCAGAATCAGATTTCGACCCCAATATCAAAAAGTCAACCCCTCGGTCAAACTCCCCAAAAATTTAACTTTCGGCATTTCAAGCCTAATTCCACTATGGACTTCCAAATAAAATTCCGATCATGCTCCTAAGTCCAAAATCACCATACGGAGCTGTTGGAATCATCAAAAAATCTATTCCGGGGTCGTTTGCACATAATTCGATATCCGGTCACTATTTGAACTTAAACTTTTAATTTTTTTATCAAAATTCTATATCTCGGGCTAGGGACCTCGGAATTTGATTTCGAACATACGCCCAAGTCCCAATTCACGATACGGACCTACCGGAACTGTCAAAATACTGATCCGAGTCCTTTTGCTTAAAATGTTGACCAAAGTCAACTCAATTGAGTTTTAAAGCTCTAATTCATATTTTAATTCATTTTTTTCACATAAAAACTTTTTAGTAAATTTTACAGACTACGCACACAAGTCGAGAAATGATAAATAGTTCTTTTCTAGGTCTTAGAATGTAGAATTAATTATTAAATTTAAATATGACATTTTGGGTCATCACAATTCCAATTGACGTGAATCTTGCACTTGCAAAGAACAAAGGCCAAAACATATCACAATTGGATTATGTTCGTGTGCTGGGATGTTTAATGTATATCATGAATTGTACTCGATCAGATATAGCTTGTGCTATAAGTAAATTGAGTCGATACACGAGTAATCCAGGTCAATCTCATTGGATGAGGATGAAACGAGTTTTGGGATATTTAAAACATACCCAAGACTTTGCTTTGCACTACAGTAGTTATCCTGCGTTGATTGAGGGATATTGTCATGCAAATTGAATCACCGGTTCAACTGATTCTAAGTCCACAAGTGGATATGTATTCACTATTGGTGGAGGGGAGGTATCTTGGAAGTCGTCTAATTGCCCGCTCTACAATGAAGGCTGAATTTATAGCCTTAGATAAAGCCGGTGAAGAAGTTGAATGGATCCGAAATTTCTTGAAAGATATTCCATTTTGGCCCAAACCGTTGGCACCAATATGCATACATTGCGATAGTCAAGCACCAATTGGAAGGGCTTGGAGCGTTAAGTATAACGGTAAATCTCGTCATATACGATGAAGACATAAAACTGTTAGGCAGCTACTCTCTAGGGGGATTATCACAATTGACTACGTAAAGTCAAGCGGCAATGTGTCAGATCCACTTACAAAAGGCCTAACTAGAGAGGTAGTTGAAAAATCACCGAGAGGAATGGGACTCTGGCAGAGGACAAGTCATTATGACGGTAACTCTACCTAAAAGACTAGAGATCCCAAGATATAGGTTCAAGGAGATCAAATAAAGTCATTAATGACGGTTCAACATTGTCAACTAAATTTTTTGTTCCATTCTTGTGATGAGACAATGTTCAGTACCAAGGATAAATCATTAAGCCTTTTTAATGTTTTCTAAATTTGATACGGGGTATATCAAAAAGTGTATATACGGGATGATACGTTTAGGAATCACCTATGTAAGTGAGAAGTGTTAGCCGCTTCAATGAGAATTTTGCAAGGTTAGTTCTCTACGCACTTATGAAACCAGGCGGTGTTCGTGGCTCAAACGAACACAACAATGAGAACCAAAGACGGTTAAGGGTTGGTTGTGTGACTTATGGTTGTCTAGGTATACACCAAAGTTTGACGGTTCAAAGATATCAAATCTACCGATTGATCGAGTATATCCGATATAAGTTCACTACGGAAAGTTCAAAGAGAAACCTACTTATCGAGATGCGATTAATCCTTGCTTGTAAATCACACAATTTTTCATGCATATTTTCGTGATATAGTCATTCCCCATTCATGTGGGGGATTGTTGGGTTTAAGCTTCTTAGATCTTAAAAGAGGGTGAATGGGAAATGGAGGAAAAAATAAAATTTTAATTTTCCCTCCTTAACAAAGGGACATTGTCCCATATTGGAGGAGGAAAAGACTTTTGATGAATATATATACAATTGCTCTTCTTCTAGCTCTTAAAGAGTTAAAAAAAATGCAAGCCTTGCGCCGTCGTCGCTCACTCGACTTCGGATTTGGTCAAATGATCGATCGATTGATTAGTTTTTTGGACCAAATTTATTTGTTAATATTATGATTAACGTAATATTATTTTAATCCAAATTAGTCGTTCAGATTTGGATTTGGATTTGGTCAAATGATCGATCGATTGATTAATTTTTGGACCAAATTTATTTGTTAATATTAAGATCAACGTAATATTATTTTAATCCAAATTATCCGTTCTTGTAACGGTAAATTAATTTTCCTCTGCATTTTGATTTTTCGTTTTATTTTGCATAAATAGCCATTTACGTAATGGTCATTTTACGTGAACATTCATAACAAACATTCTGAAGAGTTGCACCTCTTCGTTTAAACTCAACATGTTGGCTATAAATAAGAGACTACTCCCTCAAATTTTTCTTACGAAAATTCTTATTTCTCCTTCTTGTTTCTGCATTGTTTTAACAAAAAAAAAAAAAAGTAGTAAGTGTGATTTACTACTGTTCTTTGCGTTCGTTGTCACTGGGATTTGAAGTACCGCTACACAGTGAGGTTATCCGTTCTATCTTGGGAAAAAATAATCCTAAACCTCGGATAATAGGAGGGGATTAAGTTCCTTAAGGAAACACTGTGAATTTAGTGGGCTCGGATTAATTCTGTTCTTCTACACTTCTGGTTTTACATTGATTCAATTTTTCGAATATATTTTCGAATACAGAATACTAACAATTATTAATTCTGTAATTTAATATTTAAATGTATCTTTTAGCTTGGAATATTAATTGTTTAAAAATTTATTAACTAATTATTTTTTGGAGTATAAAAAGTATAAAGGTACTATTTTGGAATATAGAGCACTAAAATTATTATTTTGGACTGTTGTTGGCGTATTAATATTTTTATTTATTAATTAAAATATATGGTATATTAATTATTTCAATTACAACTTTTAATGGAGTAAATATCGTCCAAACGCATCGTGGAAGAGAAATTTGGAGTGGTCATAGTCGGTAACAGTGGCCGTCAGTGAAAGTCAAGAACCAAAAAAAAAAGGAAAGAAGAATCGCCGGCGAAGATTCACCCCAGTTGGCTTCGATCCTGAATCAGCCTCCTCCTTCTATTCGATCTCCCAGTTGATGGACAAAGCAAAAGCCCCTGAAGTTAAGGATTCTGTACCGAAACTTTACTCCAATCCTAATTCCGAAGCTAAATATTACAGCCTCTCGTTTCAGGCATCGGGTACGTTTCTCCGCTGTGAATTGTGATGGGCTTGTGAATTGTGATGAGTTATTTATGGAGTTGGGTTTGTTTTGTTACACAGTATTAGCTATTAAGAAGAGAAAGCCTCCCAGCTTGGTGAGCTTGTGTCTAGGAGTTATTGGCAGACATTTTGAGGATATTATCGAAGATCTCACCGAGATAGCTGCTAATTTTCCGTCCAATATGAAGGTTCAACATTCTTATGCGCTGTTTTGTACATAATTTCTGAAGATGTGTACTTTGGTAGACGTGAATACTGCTAGTTTTTAGTTGGCAATCATTTAACCCGACAACAACTGCTTCTTAAATCAAAAAGCCTTTCATGCTTCAATTAACCATATGTTCTTTTTCCATTCCCTTAAGATGATCAGGTTTTCAATCCATAAAATGGCAAATTGCAATGTCCTTTATCCTAGTTGCTTAAGTTTAAGTTTTGGCAAATTTTATTACTCCACCATATTATGGGTGAACTTTATAGTGAAGCAGTGTTTCCCTGATATCTTTCTTCAAACTTTTGACAAAAGAGGGCTCCTTGGCTATCAGGGAATACAATTGTGTTTTCTTTGGGGAGGAGGGGGACCGAAAAGAAAAATAAAACTGTCAATCCATGCTTTCTAGCAAAACTATTTAATGACGTTACTTTAATAGGCTGATTTGTGTCCTAGCTATTTATCTCGACTCTAATTTTTCTTGTTACTTGAACAATCTTTTCTAACTGTTAGATGGCACTTGTGGCAATTGCAAGAAGGAGAAGGCTATTGAATGACAATGTCATTGTTGCATTGGCTGATAGTTCTTGGGAAATCCTGGACTTATCTGACTCAGAGGTTTCTGATTTTGGCCTATTACAAGTGGTTGGAACATGCAAACATCTGCAAGCAGTTGATATAAGGTATTGCGTTTTGATCATTTTATTAGGTGAGGGTTGAAACATGCAAACATGCGAGTCAGGTAAGGATTTTCTGGTTTAACGGCCTAATTGGATAATGCCTGGTGCACCAACTATGGCTTTCTAGGTGACATCTCTCATTTCCACTGAGGCACAGTAAATCTATTGTTTTATCTCAAAATTCTGCAATCAGTAAGGAGGCTTGAAAGTGAGAACAGGGCCTCAACTACTAGTAAATTAAATCTAGTGTACTGTCTGTATAGGTCAAAATTTGTTATGAGGCGTTAACTCCCATAAAAATTTAGGTTATGAGGTGGAAACTCCCATTTTATACTCTTCTTGCTTTCTCTAGCTAGTTCTTGATCTCGTACTCGTGTGAACAATTATATGCCAAGTGTTTCTGGATTTGTTTTTCTTTAAAAGTGCATTACACACTTTGTGCAGGCTACACTATCACTTATTTCAGTCCTTTTTCTGCTTCTCAACTTAAATTTGGTTTTGAAATGTAAACCTAAATGTGAACATCCATTGTCACAGTCGCTGCAGCAAGCTCACGTCTGCTGGTGTATCAGAACTCTTGCAGAAATGCCAGTCTCTTGAAATACTGAGATGGGGGTAGGTTCCCTTTCTTAAATCAAGTCACTTCTTTCAGGCATGAAGCTTAAAAAATCACATGTAACAATAACAAAATCTGGCCGCTTGAATTTCTCCTAAGCTAATATTTCTTAAATGATTTGTCTGGGTTACCCTCGAGTCCACTGATGCAACCATTTGATTTACTTATAACTGTTGCTTAGAACCTGCCGACCTTTCCATGTTAAATTATGGTTTGGTTACCTATGAGTACATTCAGTATTAAGATTCTTCTCAAATATGTGCATGGTGTAAGCATTTTTTCGCTATTTGTTTGGATATTTGAATATGCTCTGCTTAAGGATGCTCAAATTTGATGCATTTGGTTTGCCTCGGGAGTACATGGAAGCTTTCATATTGTCTGGCCGAAGTTATAATCCTCTTGTGCACGAGAAGCTTTCCTGACCAATTTCTATAAAGTTGAGAGTTATCTAGCGCACGGGAGATACTGTATTACTGATCTATAGACGGGAATTATATCCAGTGCATGACAAAAAGGGTTCAAGAGGTCTAAGGATTGTATTCTTGCTTGGTCCTCTCTTAAAAAAGTTCTCTTAATTATGACCACCAGTTTGGCTAGTTACTTTATTTTTTGGTAATCGCTAGTTACTTTTATCAATGTTCCCAAGAAATTGGCTAGTTACTCCATGTTTGAAGCAATGCGTGCATGACTAGAAGGCAGAGAGGAGATAGAAAAGCAAATGGCAAAAAACTGTTAATTTTAGATCCATTAAATTTTCTCATTTTGATTCTGCACATAACTTGCTATGAAAAGTATTTTAGTTAATGATCATGTTACTTCGAACAGGATGATTTGGCACATCTATATTTCTACATGCTGTTATTCCTTACTTTGTTTGTGCTAGGTTCTTGTTATTGTCGTCCTTGGGAATATAATGTTCAAACACTTGGGCTGTTTGGCATTTTGTTCCCTTGCTTTTGCTTCCTGTCATTAATTATGAGCCTTTTTTTCCACGTGTGGGTATATTCTGGGATAACTCTGGGGGTAGTCATGAATAGTCACTTTCGATGCTATTTTTTATGTTTGGTTTAACGTCTTACTTTCATGCAACCACATAATATAATGAGTGCATCCTACATGATGAGCCTGGGATGCCTAAATCTCCTGTTGTAAGGAAGTTTCAGCTTATTGACTAGATCCGCTATTTGATTCCCGAGGATTTCTCTTGTGAACCCTCTAGTTCCGCTATTAACCTGCCTTAATAGAGTGTCCGTGCGAAGCTAGTGAAAAGATGTTCTACACCGGGACCTAAAAAAAGGAAAAAGAAAAGAAGGAAGAGCATTGCATGTTTCAACTAGTTACGCGATATCATTTGAAGTGTTCTATGAAAGAAATCCCTTGTAAAAATCTAGGTTCGTCATATATTTTGCTTGATAAAATATATTTCAAAGATCTCTCTCTCTCTCTCTCTCTCAATAAATTGGGTATGTAGAAGTTAACCACATAACTGGATTGAATGAGAGTTAATGTTGCAGAGGCTGCCCTCGGAGTGAGAACACAGCTCGCAGATGCTTTGCTTTGTTGAAACCAACACTAGAGCATGTGGAGGGAGAATCTTGGGAGGAACTTGATACCTCAGAAATAGCTCATGGTGCGACATCCCTGCGTTGGCTCTTATGGGTATGAATTATATTTGTTGTTCAGGCTTGCAAGACCATCTTTCTTGTTAGGCGTTATGCATATGACTTCTGAACTGAATCAGCATGTGGATTATCTTTTTAATCCTCCAGATTCATTGATCTTCCCTTATCCCTAGCTGAAGTAGTCTTCAGAATTCAAACTTCATGTTTATCTAATCCTTTTGCAGCCAAAAATTGAAAAGGACCAGCTGGAGAGTTTGTCTGACGAGTGCCCACGAATCATAGTAAATCCAAAGCCGTCACCACTGGGTTACAGGGGGCTTGATGTTCCTAGAGAAGCAAGACTAAATGTCTCATTAGACGATCCCATTGTTGAAGATATTGACCCCAAAACCTGGGCAGTATGTGGATTTGTACCTAGAACATCACCATCATCAGTTTCAAGCACAGAAGAGTTACCCGTGGCGGAAAAGTTTAGACTTGCATTTCTAGAGAGAGATAATCGGCTAGCACCAAAGCGAGCAAAGAATGCAAGACAACATCAGCGACGTGCAGAAAAGGAATGGGTAATGATGAATAGTAGGGCAAAAGCACTAGCACTTGCTTCGCTGGCTAGCAAATCCCTTAACATTCGGAACTGAAAATAGATGTGTACTTCTATAAACCTGTATCTCATCTTTGTCAGCCAATAGAAAGAGCTTCTGTGCACGGGTAACTGGGAAAGCTTTTCTTTGCAACTGACCATTGAGAGGAAGGCAAATATTTCCCGAGCTTCCAACAAAGATTTTACATACAGTGGTTTCTTTCAGGCAGTGGAAGAGTCTATTTGGGTCATCACACTGTTGAAAGGGAGGCCACTGTCAAGCAAGCCTGCCTCTCTCCTCTGGTCAATCCTCTGGTAAGGTGTGTGTATTGTTCTTTGTAGTCGTCTTTGGCATGTATGTATGTATATTAGGATTTTTTCTGCTGAGGATGATTTAATGAGGTGCTCCATTTTCTTTTTTCATGTGCAGTGTGTGAATTTCTAGTCTTTTTGCTTCCCATACAAATATTATTAACGACTTTTTGAGCACACAGTTGCGATTGTTTCAAAGTTTGCCTCGGGAGTACATGGAAGCTTTCATATTGTCTGGCCAAAGTTATAATCCTCTCGTGCACGAGAAGCTTTCCTGACCAATTTCTATAAAGTTGAGAGTTATCTAGCGCACGGGAGTTATCTGCACAAAAAGGGTTTAAGAGGTCTGAGGATTGTATTCTTGCTTGGTCTCTTAATTATGACCACCAGTTTGGCTAGTTACTTTATTTTTCGGTAATCGCTAGTTACCTTTATCAATGTCCCCAAGGAAGAAATTGGAAAAACTGGTATTTCAAAGTAATTTTTTCTTTATATTTTGAGGGGGAAAAGAGAGTACAAACGTTCCACTCTCTTTTTTGTTTCCCACTCGTGTCCGGTACCCGCATTGGAACCCGACTATATTCGAATTCGCGCCGCGTAGGGCTCCATTCGAGAAGCGCTTCCTACCAAAATTTTTTTCATAACAAAGGCTGAAACTCGAAACTTCTGGTTAAGGAAAGAACAGCCCGTGGTACAAATGTCCCACTCAATCTTACGCTACCCCAACTTAACTTGCCATAACAGGGAGGTTATCAGTGGCTGCTAAGACCGTCTTTAAGCTCTTCTATGAAATCGCTCCAATTGTCATCTAAACACGAGGGAAGAAAATATCTAATAATTACAAGATGTTACAACCCATATCATCTCTTATATGCATAAACGAGTTCAGCACATCCATCTTCTTGAACGATGCTGCCAGCATAGGCAAAGCATGTAGTACAACATATATGAGCCTAGGCTGTATTTCACTATTTGCTTAAGTTCCGAATGACGTAAGGAAGGATGCCACCATGGTCAAAATATGCCAGCTCAACCTACAATTCCAAATCAACAATATAAAAGCTATCATGATATAAAATGTAATCGCACCAGATATTTACACTAAAATAATAAATACATCACATGCGTTAATATATAGACTTCTCTCACTTAGCCGTAGTATATTAACATATTTTTCACTTCATTAAGTCTTTAACCATAATAAGTTGATAAGATGAGGGGTGTGCCCTGCAAGAAACCGCCAGATGATAAACGAATTATAAACTCTTTATGTATACATTAATCCTAACGGGGCCAAGTTTGAACAAATGTCAAGACTTGCGACAATCCAAATAGTGCAGCTTAGCATATGAAAGAAAAAATGAAATGCAAAGGAACAAATGATGATTACAAGTTAAAACTCTTAGATGTTCTGTAATGCAGTCTCCATCACTAACTGTGTTAGCTGAAAGAAAGAAAAAGAGAAATAAAACCACTTAAAAATGCACATCTCCAGCTCAATAAAACTGAAAACTTCTTTTTTCAACATTCCCCCAAAAATAAAATAATTGACCTGTTTCGCAAAATAATTAACTCCTTGTTCACCAAGCGTCCAAATAGATTACATTTCATCCGATCTCAGACTTTAACCAATGACTTTCCAGTGTAACCAAACTATGTTATATTCAATCTTAAAGCACATTTTAATTAATTTTATTTAGCATTTTACTTGAGTTCTGTACAAGTTAATGCAGGTAATTTATTAAAAGACAAAGGAGTTAAAAAGTAGTACAAACAAAATACATACCTCTGTGTCAAATCTAAGAGTACAGGTGAAAGATTTTCCACTATCAGTAGTCACGGTTAAATCTTGTCCGGGCCTTATATCAGAAATCCTCTGTGGAAGGTCAATAGTGTAACGCTCATGACCAGTCAAACCTAGTGCTTCTGCATCTTCACCAGGCTTAAAACAAAGTGGTATAATGCCCATTCCAACCAGGTTACTGCGATGAATCCTCTCAAAGCTTTTTGCAATCACTGCTTTTACTCCCTTTTTTCAAGAACATTAGTGTAACATCATAGAGAAAAAGAAAACAAAGAAAGAAAATTTAAACCGCGGAAACTGGTGTAAAATGCTTACTAGTAGCATTGGGCCCTTGGCAGCCCAATCCCGGGAACTTCCACTCCCATATTCTGCTCCAGCAATAACAATGGTGTCGTGCCCGGCAGATTTGTATCGCTGCAAATAGTTCAATAAAGCAAAAAAGAAACATTAATTATCCTTGCATATGAAAAAGGGGAGAGAATGTAATAAAATAAAAGGAACAGCCTATTTACAAAAGCTCTTAGCCAAACAATAGTGGAACGTTTCCTGAATAAACATTGTAACTCACCATTGCTGCATCATACACATAAAGTTTCTCCCCAGTCGGTATGTGAATCGTCTTCGGACTGACTTCTCCATTCAAGAGCTTGTTGATGATTCGAATGTTAGCAAAAGTACCTCTAGCCATCACTTGATCATTGCCACGACGGCTGCCATATGAATTGAAGTCCTTCCGCTGAACTCCACGCTCCATAAGATACTTTGCAGCAGGACTGTCCTTATGAATGCTACCTGCTGGAGAGATATGATCAGTGGTTATACTATCACCAAAGTTCAATAAGCAGTAGGCATCCTTCACCCCATGAGGGCCGGGAGGGTCCACACTCATGCCCTTGAAATATGGGGGTTGATGAATATAGGTTGAATTTGGATCCCATGCATAGAGATTGGACGACGGGACAGAGAGTTGATTCCAGATAGGATTTCCCTGAGTAATAGCTTCGTAAGTGCTCTTGAACATCTCGGGGAGCACACTTGATTGAACAACCTACAGGAAGATCATCTTTAGTCATATTTACAGGGCCATGGAGATAATCATTGCTTATTGAGGACAGCAAACGAATAATACCTCCGCAATTTCTTCATTACTAGGCCATATGTCCTTAAGGTATACACCTTTTCCGTCTTTTCCAATTCCTATAGGCTCCTTCTCGAAGTCAATGTCCACCTGAAAAATATTAGTCGAAAGAATTTATCTACAAACATGCAAGCAAAACAGTAGTTATCTGTTAGCTACAAGCAAGACGCGGAAACAAACCCCTCCCCTACCCCACAAAGAAAAGAAAAAAAGAAAATCTTGGTTGGTCAAAACCAAAGGAAGAAAAAACAAGTGAAACAAAACACAAGCAACAGAGAGCGGGGGGTCATAAACTCTATCAGAAGAAACATGCTAAACAAGGCTTGAAAGGGCTCTGGTCAGCGCATTTAATGAAACTGAAGGCTACTGACTGAGAGTAGCTAATGGATAGTAAAGCACAGAAAGTTCACTCCTTCAGCTTGGGTATCAATCTAAAGGAGAAAAATATGGAATAAGTCCCCCACTAATTCATCTCAGTATACCGTTCCTGCAAGTGCATATGCAACAACCAGCGGTGGCGAAGCAAGATAATTAGCTCTTGTTTGGGGGTGAACACGGCCTTCAAAGTTCCGATTTCCAGAAAGCACAGCTGCAGCTACAATATCTGCAAAAATATTTCCAAGAACATCACCAACATAGCCAATCACTTTTCTTGCTAGAAGATGACCTGCTCAAGCAGACTGAATACACTGGAGCACCATGTGAAAGTACTACAGAAAATGCATAACTTAGAATTTTTCCCACTTATGGAAGAAAAATAGCACAGATCAAGTTATAAATTGGAGACTACCATTATCAGTGATGGCAGAAGCAACTGATTCATCGAGATCTCCAGAATTACCAATACATGTTGTGCAACCATAGCCAACAAGATGGAAGCCCTGCTGGTTCAGGTACGTTTGTAGGCCACTGCAACACAAGGTCACAAATTAACTCAAAGAGAACAAATAATGATGTTCCAGGACACGGGAAGGGCCAAGATAAGTAACAATTAATCACAAACAGTACCTCTTATGGAGGTATTTTGTAACAGCCCCTGAACCTGGAGCCAGACTTGTTTTTATCCATGGTTTAACCTATTCAATAATCCCACAAGTTATTTTTAGAAGCATGCTCCATCTGTAAACAATTTAGAGGAATCGCCACATGTGACAAACTACAAGGCTTGCAGCATTATTTCAGGGCCCTAAAACTAACCTCCAAACCTAATTCGCAGGCCTTTTTTGCAACAAGACCAGCTCCAAGCATTACACTTGGATTAGATGTATTTGTGCAGCTCGTTATAGCAGCTATAACGACACTACCATGCTTAAGTTCAGCAGGAAGTCCATGGAATGTAAATGTTGCAACTTTGTCTTGCTCCTGCTTGGGCACAGCAAATCCCTGCATGATTAACAGAAAGGGCTTATTTATTGTGTCAATCAAAACTTCATGACATTTTTTTATAAGTGGACACTTTTATGACATTGTTGTGTCAGCTTCTAAAATGAATTGATACTTTGTCAATCAGAATTTGCATGCTTTAGATGAAAAAGGAAAGGGAAAAGAATATCCACAAAATTTTAAAAATAAATCTGAGGAAAAGAATAACCTTGAATCCATGTTTGTTATCAAGACATGCATGCCAATCAGCTTTCATATCATTGAGAGCGACACGATCATTTGGCCTATTAAAAATGACAACAGTGAGAACACTTGACGGAATCTAACAATGAGCTACGCAAAAATTTGGTGAACAAATTTATAAATATTACCTTTTTGGTCCCGAGACACAGGGTTCAACATCAGCAAGATCCAATCCCAAATAAGATGAGTAAACTCTCTCCTCTTGAGGCTGTATTGTAAAATTATACCACAAAGTTGCATCACGAAAAGTTTTACATTACCATACGAGAATAATACTGGAATAGAAACTTTACCTCGTTGTAGTCAACGAACATTTTGTTTGCCCGCAAATACTCCTCAATCATTGTTATCTAATCAAATAATGTATTGAAACTGTTAGGAACAATAAATATATTATTTTCTTTCAGCAGACCACAAATTAAAGGAGAAAAAAGGGGAACAACTAACTGTTTCCTCACTACGCCCAGTTAATTTAAGGTACTGTAACGTCATATGATCTACTGGGAAAAAACCCATGGTAGCTCCGTATTCGGGAGACATATT